TAGAATCAAAATTTCATAGCAATCGGACACTGAGAAGGGTTTGTGGTAAAGATGAGAAGCTATTGTGTGAAAATCGTATTATTTTCCTAGTTGGTTTAGGGTTCTTTTTCTTTTTTTATTTAGAACTCTTTTATTATTTTTCCAACATTGTTCATGACATTTTAAATAGTATAAATAAAGCTATTTAGCTTGAAAAAAAAAAAAATTGAGTGATTGCTTATTATTCAAAAAAAATAGTGTGCATCCAAGTTTGCTCATACTCTTGGTTTTCAGTGAATTCTTTAGGATTTTTCAAAGATTAATGGTATTCCTAGTGATGATTTGGTTTGGGTGCATATAGGGAAGAAAAATTTTCAACCTATAAGAGATCTAAGTTGCAATATAAAGGAGATGTTCCTTCCAAGTTCTTGAACAAATCAACAACAACACATACAAGGTGGATCTTTCAAGTGACTATGATGACTATGGTATTAGTGCTATTTTTAATGTTTCTAATCATCCTCTGTTTGATGTAGGTGATGATTTGAGGTCGAATCCTCTTAAGGAGAGTATTGATGAGAACCAACATGCACCACAAAAAGATTCATGAGAGATGTCGATTAGGTCAAAGGCCAAAATGATTAGAGAGGTTTTCAATGGGCTACTTCAAGATATTTAGGGCAATTCAAGCTTCAAGATTGGACAAGGGGTGATCAAGCCTTGATTAATGTGATCCATGCAAAAGATGGACAAGGAGAGGTGGTTTTGGATGCTCTTCCTATACCTCCAGTTCATGATTCATTATAATCATAAGGTCGAGGTCTTTTTTACCTCCAGTTCATGATTCATTATAATCATAAGGTTGAGGTCTTTTGCATCTAATAACTTCGATGTCTTGGTTCATGTAATCATCGTATCGAGTGTTTTTTTATTGTAATTTGATTTTAGCTTTCTTGGATTGTTTTCTATCTTGATTGTGAGTTCTACAATTCCTACCTTCTAGATTCACATCATTGAAGGTGTCTCTAATGGGACAGTATAGAAATTAAAACTTGGGAATTCCACATTAGAGTCCCAAGTTTAAATCCTAACAAGAGTGGGCAAAGAGATGTAGGGATGAGGAACACCTACTCCCTGCTATATCCCCAAAGCCAATGGATCTCCAATGCAAAAAAACATAAAAAAGAAAAGAAAAGTCATAAGATTTATGTCACTGTACAGAAAATAGAGCATTAGAATAATGCATTTCATTGCACGGGATAACATAAAGATTAAGCAAGAAACACGTGCGCCTCCAACCTAGCTATTGAACATAATTGATTGCTAAAAGTAGAAATTCTTATAATGACAACTAAATTTAAGCAAGACACTTGCATATAAAGCTAATGAAGACTACAAATGACAATCTTCTAGCTTTTTAAGTGATTTGTTGAACACACCTCAATTGCTCTTCAAAAGGCATATGAATTACTAGTTAGTAGAAACTATCATAAGAAGCTCAACAAGATCAAAACTTGATGACCCAAGTCAATCAAGTTGTGAAATGCAATACCGCACATAAGAAACATATCAGAAAAGCAGGTTTTACTGAATGTAAAACATAACATGATCCGCTTCACAAAATTTCCTTCATAAATAGTCCTTTGAAAGAGAATGTATAACCACTTTATTCCAAGGAAGTCTCGACAATCTAAAGAAACATTCTAAAATTCTTAAGTGGTGATTTGGGAGGGAAAATTGAGGGATAGTCCCATCTTTTGATGTCTTGGCATGAAGTGACTACTCTCAATGCTTAAACATGTATCCTAGCAGCTGCAAGTTCTCGACTTAGTACTACCCCAAGTAATGGCCTCTGTTAGCATTCTTGCTATAACTAAAAATTTTCTTCACTGTCCAATTAAAAGAAAGAGAACCTTAACCATAAAGCTCACAGTTCTGTAATACAACATTAATTCTTTGGAAACTCATTGGAATCATAGAAAATTACCTAACGTTCCAAATTCTGAGTTACTTTTTATGTCCTTTGGATATGTTAAAAAAATTACCCAAATACATATGTTGGTTTGCCTTGAGGAGGTAGTTGGCTTTAAATCATGGTTAAGCAACTGTACACACATGCCCTGCCCCAAAATACCAAACCGTCCGCATATTTTTAGTTTCACTTCCACCATAGTTGCACTAAGAAAAATGCACTTAGTAAAATAATAGGGCCACTTATTCTGTAAAATGTGCTAAGTAAAGTAATTGAAGGACAACAAATTGCCATGAAGTGGGGAAAAAAAAACATCAGATAAGTTCAACTACATCCTAATAAAACCTTGGTGCTAATGACAGTTGCAAGAAATTCTTAATTGCCGAACCAAAACTTAAATATCTGTGATTTGTTATTTCAATCAGTTATGATTTCCAAATCTTGTCCTCTAATCTCATGAACCTCGACACTGTCCGTGCTAGATATGAACCTCCACTGACATAGGCACACCAAATGGACCTGCTTATGCAATCTTCATAAAAAGATCTGATTTGGATCCAGTATAAAAACAGGACACAATGAATCAGGCTATAATAGATAATATCAAACTATCAATTGACATAGTGTCCATATAAATAGTGACAAAATCTGAACCTCAACAATCTTGAGCAATTAACTGAGGTTCAAATGCATATAAAAACTGGAAAGATGACAACAGCCTTTAGTTTGCATCTTTTTTTCTTTTGCTCTAAATAGACTTTGAAGTTAAATCAAAAACAAAAGCAGCTCAATGAAGTTGCTATATAGATTTATTGCATGTGATGAACTACTATATACCTTTCAATAATGGACGAGCAAAATGGTTAAACAAAAATGGAGGGGCAGAACAAGGAAGCTGAAAATTAAACTATTACCTGTGATCCATCCCAAAGCTGACCCCAATAAACACTGCCAAATCCCCCTTCTCCCAGCTTGTTATCATAATTGAAGTTGTTGGTGGCTGAGTGTAATTCCTTCAAGGAGAAGATTCGCCATGTCAGCTGCTTCTTTCCTCTCTCTTTCCTATAAAATCAATCACAAACTCATATTAACTGATTGTTTTTTATTAGCAGGCAAACTCAATGCCGTTACTCTTCATCACCTTATTTCAGCAAGTGGACAAAAATCCCTTAAGAAATTCAGAAAGTACCAAGATATCTTGAAAAAACCCCATTTAAAATCCAATGAAATAGTGGTATCCCTCCCATCATTTACAAAGCTACCCAAGAAAACACTAAAAATTGATTTCAACATCTAGACCCTTAAACCCAGTTACCTAAGTTTTAATTTCTACCCTATATTTCAAAACCGTGAAGCAAATAAAAACACTATTTCTAACATCAAGAAGGAAAAATAATCTCGAAATACGGCCAAATCCAAAACTCAAAACCCATGTAAATTCCCAATTTTATTTACCAAAACATGCAGAACTACAGCAATATCCAGAAACCATAAACAACAAAAAAATCAAAGGAACTAAAAATCGAAGAAAGAAAATAGCAATCAAATAATCAAAAATAGATCCTCTATGAACAGCTGAGGAAAAACCTACCGATCCAACTTCTTTACACAACAAAGCATGGAAGTAAAGGCCATATCCACCTTCACCAACCAAAACCCACTTCTTATTTCTCTCTATATATCACTATATCTTCTCTCTGTTTTTTTGTTTTAGCCTTTAAAGTTCCGTAATTTCTCTCTCTCTCTCTAGCTTCTTTCTTCTTTTCTTGAGGTAGTTTGTTTGCTTTAGTCAGCGAGCGTAAGAGAAAAACAGAGAAAAGAACCCAAGATTCTGATGGAGTAAACAAATTGTTGCAACACTCAAAGCAGACATTTTCCTTTTTAATTAATTATTTTCTGATGGGTTTTGGTTAGCAGAGACAGAGCGTGTTAAAGAATTTTTCCTCGCTTTTGTGCTGTTTCAATTTTCAAATCACACTTGTGGGGCCTTTTTCAACTGCTGTCTGAGAATTTTGTTCAAGGAGGATGTTAATGTATGGAAACCCTAATTTAGTACCAATCCTATATACTCATTCTCAATTCAATCCTAAACCTATAAATTTTATCAATTTGATTCCAAATGTTTCCGGAGATTCTTAATTAAATCCTTTTTAAAGTATTTTATCAAGTTGACACTACTTAATTTAAAGTCTTAAAACTTTAACTATAGACTAATAATTGAGAGGGGGTCAAGATAAACTCTATTGGATAGTTAGTTATCTTTTTAATAATAAGTAGTTTTGAAGGCTTTAAGAGTAGAACTAGGTTCTTCTCTCTTGCTGGACTTGTAACCCCATGTTTTAGCATTTTTAAGGATTAAACCACACCTGAAATTATAGAATGTTAATTATGGATGAAACACAAAACAATATTTGAATAAAGAACTACGCTAATTATGATCTTGTTTTGCATTTTTAATTAAAAATCTAAGAAAAAGGATTTGATGGGAATATAAAATGTAAATTAAAGAAAAACGTAATAATTAATGAGATGATTAAAAATAAATTTATATAAATTTAAAATTTAGAATAAATCAATGCTTGTGAATACAATGCGGTATACTTATTGATGCAAGGGGAGGTATAGGACCCAAATAGTGACACGAGATTATTAGTCAAGCTTTTACAACCTATGCTCTATATTTTCTATTATTTTAAATTGTTTGTAATGCTAGTGCTGTGGAGTTAATAATTTATGTATATGATGTCAAGGAAGAAAAAAATAAAAGGAGATCAATATGAAAGATAGGTTGAGATGATTTTAATTAATTATTTAGGTTTGGATTTTGAATAATTAATGTTATTAACGAAGTTATATTAATATTGACATTTCAGAGGATATTAATTAACTATAAAAAATTCTGTAATTTATAGATTCATTCGTGGCAATGTATTTATAAATGTTTATGAGATAGAGTTTTTTTTTTTTTTTTAAAAAAAAAAAAAGAAAACTAAAAACACTTCTTCCACCGACCATGCGGACCGTATCTCTTCTCTTTAATAAATTCCTCCTTATTCATTCCATTTCAAGCAGGTATTGGACTTACCAAGCGTACCCTGAGACCCAAATAAATGTAACAACTTTCCCACCCGCCAAGATTTCCTCGTAATCTCCGCAATCACCATTTCGCTTCTTTCTTTTCTGACTACTTTTACTCCTCCCTCCACAGACACGCACACACCCACGCAGCATCGCTCATCACCATTTCCTTTCCAATACCCTAGTCATGAAAACAACCACCACCGCAACTATCACCGCCACGATTCCCACCCCTTATAAGCGTAAACAGATCAACGTCGACGGCGGCTTCAACATGGAGCAGGAGGAAAAGAAAACTGTTGGCATTATGACCGATGGAGTTAGTAACGGTTTCTATGCTGTTGACCCGTTCTTTTTGAAATGGACGGTGCATGATATGGTCACTGTGGCTAAGCATCATTGGCTTCCTTGCTTTTTTGGATTTGGGTTGTTGTTTTTCATGGCCGTGGAGTACACGCTCCCCATGGTGCCAGCATCATCGCCTCCGTTTGACTTGGGATTTGTTGCCACGCGCCGCCTTCACGGATTGCTGTCCTCGTGGCCGGAGCTCAATACTTTACTCGCTGCTCTTAATACGGTACGCCATCAATGCATGCGAAACTTGTAATCAATGGGGATCAATGTGTTTCTGGTGTTCTTTTCCCTGGGTCAGATTTGTGAAGGATGCGTTCGTGGTATTTAGCATGGTTGATTTTGATTATTTTTTTTTTAAGATTTGATAATTAATTTGTAAGCATATGCAAGGAATAATTCTTGTAAGCAATAGATTTTGCCTTCTATTTTTAGCAAGAAGGGCATCCCAGGTTGAATTTTGCTTTAGAAGTTAACTGTGGATATAATTGCAGCGGATTATTCTAAAGGCCTGTTTGGAAATGCTCGACTACAAACGCGAAAAGCATCATTGATACCATTCCTATTCTTAGATGAATTTTCTTAAAAAAAGATTTTGATTTCTTTTTAGTGTTTTTATATCAATTTTATGTTATAATGTGAAAAATAATTTTTTAAAAAAATAAAAAAAATAATTTTGATATATTTTCAAGTAAAATCACTATGAAGAATAACAGTTAATATATTATATTTTTAAACATCCACGAGATACACTATAAGAAATCAATCCTAGGTCAAGTTTTAAAGCAGCCTTGTAGTCTCATATAATTTGAGGAGAGGATAGACGAGGAGGCTCTGGTATTTACATTCTCTAGTGAATAAACAACTTGTTGTGTGTGCATGATCAGGTATTTGTGGGTATGCAAACAACATATATCCTATGGACGTGGCTAGTTGAAGGCAGACCTAGAGCAACAATCTCTGCGTTATTTATGTTCACTTGCCGTGGGATTCTGGGTTACTCCACTCAGCTTCCATTGCCAGAGGTTCGTCTTAACATGAGTTCCCTCTCTCTCTCTCTCCCCCTTAATCTCTAGCTAGTAGTGTTTGGATTATTGACGAGCGACTTTAACATCTATGTGATCGACCATCTACGAATTTTGTCTCTATTAATATAGGTGTCTTTTCTTATCTGTCTCAAACAAATTAGTCAATTGTTTTTGTTCTGTTGTTTCTTTATGGAGTGCCACTAACGAGTCATGTTTTTTGGTTTCATTTCTTACCAGGAATTTCTGGGGTCAGGAGCGGACTTTCCGGTGGGTAATGTATCGTTTTTTTTGTTTTTCTCAGGTCATGTTGCAGGGTCTGTGATTGCATCATTGGATATGAGAAGAATGCAGAGGTGGGAATTGGCTTGGACATTTGATGTGCTTAATGTTCTGCAAGTTATTAGGCTTCTTGGTACTAGGGGTCACTATACCATAGATTTAGTTGTTGGTGTTGGTGCTGGTATTCTCTTTGATTCACTCGCTGGAAAATATCAAGAGTGCATACGAAGGAAATCAATTGCTGCTAAAGAGGCGTTCTTTAGTTAGAGGATGGCACAAGATTCCGAAAGGTAATACGAGTGACTGGTAGGTGGTATTTTGCAGAAAGGTAAAAGGGTCTGTGAAGTTCCATGATCTGGGAAAAAAAACAAAAAAAGGTGTAGGGAGATACAGAAAATTGTCAGGTCTCACAACAGAGGACCTAGATGAGGGGTTAATGCCACTGGATTTGTTTAATGTATTTCCTTCTCCATGACCTTACACGATTTTAATGAAGTTGGCAGTATTTTGTTCATGTTTTCGTCTTGTCCATGGAAGATATGCTCAGGAGAGCGTAAATTTTGTAAACGAAAAATCATAGTTTGGCAGGATGGCCTGCCCAGTTTTATTTACATCTGCTACCCTTTCTCATGACTAATGAGATCATTGCACAATTCATAAATCTTCCTTGGCAATTGATATTGGGATAATTAGGTTGGCGGTTCATTGAGATGAATCTAACCAACCAAAGGAAAAAAGCAAAAAATGGAACCCAACAAGAAGTGAAGAATGTTGCAAATTGCAAAACAGAAGTTTCTCTGAATATATCTTTTGTGGTTGAATGGTTGTGTGCAAAACCATCTAATACACACACAAAAAAGGTATGTTGATGCCGTGTTGGCCACAAGCAGAGCGTTGGCCATCTAATACTTTTCCACACGCCATACATAAATATTCTCCCTTTCTAACCTTAATCACTTTGCTTGCTAGGTTGCAAAACATAGAAAAACAGTTAGGAAAAGTTGTTTGTAAGCATGTAACAAGGGAAAATAAGATATTTGTGATAACCATTTATTGATTTGAAAATGGGAGCTAGTTTCTTATTTCGTATGTAGTTGTGCCTTGCTTGTATAAGAGAAGCAAGGAAAATTCTTACGCTGGATTTTCTAGCTGGATTTTCTAATTGGATAATATTTTGGATAGACATCTTATTCCACTCTACACAACTTTTAATATGTATCTTTTCAAATAATTCATAGAGTTAATGAGTTTGAATTAATTTGATGTGGATTAGTTTGTAACACAATCACAATACTAAATGATCAATTAGAAATGTTAATTAGATCAATTATACGATGAAGAAAAAAGAAGTTCAAGGTGGATTTAATAAGCTTATTCAAATTATTTGGGTTAAGATAAATTTCAATGAGGTTATAACAAATGATCATCGGATTTTAATTAGTTTAATTCATGTTCAAAAGGAGTTAATACTATAACATGGGCCTAATTATTATATAATAGTGGGTTATCCAAAAAGAGCATGTGGCAGCCTTAATTAATTAAATATTTTCATATGTTTTATCAATCCCATATTAGTTTAGAAGTCTTTATTGTGTGTAGAAATATTTATCGTTGCAAAGAAGTTCATATTGGATAAATTTGACAATTTAACAATTCTTATTTAATAGGAAAATAAAGTGAACAAGAAGTTCATATCTTACAAGAAAATTAAGGGGTAGTGTCAAGCTTATTTGGAAAGGTTTTCTTATCATTCAAAGACACTAGAAATGGTGTAGGTCTTATTTTTTCTAGTGCATAATTGTATGCTAATAAGCATAACTTTTGATTTGATTATTGAATTAGACTGAAACTTTGCTAGAAAATTTTAGAGGCCTTGTTTTATTTATGCTTAACATTTCATAGAGATTGAGTATTGGGAAAGCCTTGCATAAGGTCCAGATGCTACTATGCGAGATTTGTATTGGTTTTTTAGTTGATTTAGGATTCTTTTTCTATTTTATTTATAACTCTTTTATTATTTTTCTAGCTTTGTTTAGGACCTTTTTACCTCTTACAAATAGATTTATTTAACTTATATTTATATTTTTTTATACAGACTTTGATTTTACTTTTTTGTTCTTCATTAAACAATTTTAACTTATCAAAAAATAACTATCTTGGTGATGTTTTTTTTTTATTTCTCGTTCATGATTCTTTATAATCATTAGGTGAGGGTTTTCATTCTAATAGTTTTAGCACCCCGGTTCAGATAATTGTTGTGTCGAACTTTTATCATCCAAATTTGATAATATCTTTCTTGGTTTTGTTTTTTCTTGCATTTGGGTTCTAAAGTTCTTACCATTCAAGTTTACATCAGTTGGTATCATAGCAAAACTCTATAATCATATTGTATTAATTTATTTTTTAAATTTCAATGTCATTGTCATTATTTTCATTGTTTCTTCAAATTTGATTGTGGTAACATAAAAGAGAGTTTTTGAATTTTTTACTATAAGAAAAAAGTTAGCAGCGCTTGCACACACACATATATAAAAAAAGAAGTGAAATAAAAAAATATTGCAGGCTTGAACTAATAAAATATTGAATTCAGAAACTAAGAGATATACACATATAATATGATATGCTTTGAGTTTTTGGTTTCTTAGTGTCAAATCTTAATTTTGATGTTATTTATACATACATAGATTTGGGTAATTCTGAAATTACAAAATGAATCATATCGAGACAATTTGTGTCAACACAATTCTTCTTTATATGTTACTTTCATATTCAGTCATATTAGTATTCTAAAGATAGTTTTGAGTTAATTGAGTAATATTACTTTAGTTCTCTTACTTATGTATTTGTTTTCGCATCGTCGTATCACATTAATATATGAATCATAATCTTTAGCATTTTTGTGTTTGTAATTTATTTTTTTATAGTTTTTCCTTGTTTCATGATTATTGAGTCTAAAATACTAAGCAATTCATTGCTAATTTGTTTTTCTTTGGTTGTTTGAGATTAGTTCCTTAAAGAACTGAAAAGGTTAGTACGAGAGGTAAAAGATAAAATAATGAGTATATTACCATGAGAAGCCATATTTGAGTGCAATAAGAGAAAATTGACATCTATTTGAGTATAAATACATGAGGAAGTGAGTGAGGATATATTTTTATTGCTACTAACATGCTTTTTTTAGATTTTGACAATGTCTATGAAAAGTGATTCATCAGCGCCAAAGAAGAGGGATAATTAGGCTTTTAGGTTTATAGCCATGTAATAATAATTGAAGAGGATGGTTTTGAGGTTTGGAGATCTTTTATATAAATTAGAAAGGCAAGAGACTAAAATAACTAGTTTATAAGAAGAGATAAATCATAAGAGTCCCAAGGCTAAAAGGTTATGAAGGCACACTACTCCACCTATTGATAAGCTTGCTGAAGAGAATATAGATGACAAAATTGTGGATTATGATCATGCATCAATTGGTCATGTGAATAGATATTTATAGCCTAAAAGTCAAAGCGTTGATGGTTTTCATCAAGGTTTTGGGTATCGTGATGATTTGGATAGAAACTTAGGGATTATTATTAAAAGTGGGAGAAAAAGGTTAAATTGATTTTCAATTGCCACAACTATTTAAAAGAAAAAAAAAGATATAAATTTTGTTACTAATTATGTTATAGTTTGATAGGAACAACTTGTTTTGGATAGGAGGAGAAATTGTAAAAACCTATAGATAATTGGGTTGAGATAAAAGCAATTATGAGGAATAGATTTGTTCTAAGACACTATTACTCTGAGTTATATCAGAGGTTGTAAAGTGTGACTTATGGGTTTAAGATAATAGGATTATCATACAAAGATGAAGATTTTCATAATTAGGGCTAATGTATTGGAGGATATGGAAACTATAATGGTGAGATTTTTAAATGAGGGAGGTCACGATATTGCCAATATTATTCAATTACAACATTATGTTAAGTTAGAAGTTATGGTTTATAAGGCAAATAAGGTGGAAAGACAAGTAAAATGTAAGAGTAATATACGATAAATAAGTAATTTAGGTTTTTTTTTTAATCATAGAGGTCGAATTATAGAAGAGAAAAGGCTACCTATCTAAGGCCTAGCATTAACATAAAAGCCAAACCTTCCAAGGTTAAAAAGAAAGTCATTGTTGATTCTAAAGGTAAAAGGAAAACTCAACCTACTCGTAACCATGATATTAAGTGTTTTAGGTGTTTAAAAGTTGGATACTTAGCATTGCAATGTCTAAAAAAGCAAGCTATAATTTTACAAGATCAAAGAGAGATTGAATCCGAAAGTGACATATACAAAGATGATGAGATGCCACAACTTAAGAATTGTAGTGATAGGGATGTAGAGTATTGGGTTAAGGGTGAATCGTAAGCACTTTAGCGTACGCTTAATGTTCAGATCAAGAAAATGACATGAAGTAGTAAAGGGAGAATATTTTCCATACGAGAAATTATATCAATAATAAGGTATATAATGTGATTATAGATAGTGGGATTTATGCTAACATTTCCAGTATTATAATTATTAGGAAATTGAATATGAACAATATATATATTGATCACATGTAAGAAATTTTATAGATCAAAACAAAACTAAGTTGCCAGCAAGTTAGAATATATAAGCATATATAAATAAAAGGAACATGCTTCCTTGAACACCAATATAGTCATCAATACATGACAAGTTGAAACCAATTACAATATAGACCACAATAAAAAATACAATCCAGCATAGTTGGTAACAAAATCATGGGAAACCACTCTACAGATAGAAAACATTAATAGCAAGCCTAAAGAGCAAACAACCAACACTTACATTCAATAACCATAAGTGGAAAAATCCCCTAATTCACCAATCATAATGAGGGAGTAGGGGGATCCGAGTCTTCAGGCCTCTCCATAATCTTGCTAGCAACTTCAGACTTAAAACCAAAACTTGTGCCTATAAATATAGTAGCAGTATTAGCAGTTAGAGACTTCCCAACTCTGCTTTAAGTCATGTATTGTTGATTAGTACTGAAAATGTATTTTTATCAAGGTTTTATATTATTATTTTGCACTTGAAGTATCAATATCTCCTTAACCAAAACATGTTTTTATAATAACATATCTAATAATATAAGATACCTTTAATTTGTGATAAATTTTCATCTTAAATGCAGGCCTATCACATAAATAAAAGGATTGATTGATGAGTTTAAGTACTAAAATTGAAAGGATAAAGAGATGACCAAATTTAGAAAAGAGATGCTAGTATAGTTTAAACTGAAACACTGTTCGGTAATTGAGTCATATCTAGAGTTGTAGATCTCAAATTTAAGTCTACTTTATATGAATGGAAAGGTAAGATAAAGGCCTATAACTTTCATGTGGAGGTTTGGTTTTAAAAAGGTCATTTTCATATCCAAATTATAACAACAATGAAGAACTCCGAATCTGTCCTACAACCCAAATACTATTCAGTGTTTAGCCTATATCTTGAGTACCAGAAGTC